GGCGGTACGCTGCTGCGGGTGGTCGTCAATGATTGGCTGGGAAAAGAATTGAAAGACGCGCACTGCAACCAATCATATCAGAGGAAGAATGGGGCATTTCCCGTGTCATGAATGACGTACTAAAGACAAACTAATGATAACACAGATACTGCAAATAAGAATAATCAGAACAATAAGAAGAAATGAAGCCCGAACTGTGTAAAGATTTCTGATTAATATAAAAATAAAACCATTATATATATTTAATTACATTAGTAGTAATAACACTGGTGTCACATATAACAATTCTGGTGGGAAATTCCTTTAATTTGAATTTAATTTGATTTTAACAGTTACATTTAGTCTGTGTAATACAGTATGTATCTAATTGTATAATTTGAACTCCACTTGAAGTCATTATAAAACCACAACATCTCCAGCTACAGGCCTAATGATACTAATACAAATAACAAGAAGAAGAAGAAGAAGCAGAAGAAGCATCATCATTAAGCCAGGATGTTAGAAATACTGAGGCCAAGTGCAGAATCCCTCCCATCTAAACTTTAAATGGACCTGTACTTCTGCCTTTCTAGTCTTCCAACCACTCAAAGCACATTCACCCTTTCACTCAGTGATGGCAAAGTCCATTGAACAGAAACTAACTCATTCATACACATTCACACACCGATGCACGGCATCAGGAGCAATTCAGGGTTCAGTATCTTGCTCAAGGATACGTCGACATGTGGCACCAGGAGCCGGGTATCGAACCAACAACCTTCAGATTAAAGGACGACCCGCTCTTACTCTGAGCCACAGCCGCCTTTAAACTCAGTGTTTTAAAAACAACTTACAAACTTAACTTTTATCTTCAGTTATATTTTCTGTTCAGTTGACTTCCTGACATTATTGTCTGGTGCCAATATGTAATCCTGGTAGAAAATTACTTTTATTTTAATTTACTAAATGTTGTCTTTTGCCCAGTTAAATTGAATATACAAATATTATAATCACAAATGAATGAAATTTTGTTGTTAACCTTTCTACCGTGTTGTAATGTATTCACACTTCACAACAGGACATAAGTCACAACTCAGCATACCTCCCACACACCAACTTTTACTCACTTTCACAGGAAGTATAACAATGCTTAGATGATAATCTCTTGTTTTTTTAAAAAACATCTTCAAATAGCAAACAGGCATCATCAGAGGATGTAAAGATTATAAGCAGCATTCTTTAACAGTAAAGGAAAAAGAGAAAAAGAGAAAAACACAAAATGCTCATCCAATGACTGAACTCCACATTCATACAGCAGTTACCAATAATGATCTTACTGGTGTCATTTCTGATGAAGATATTGATACTGATTAATAGATATGGAATATCAATTAGCTGTATTAGCTATGTGGAACTGTTATCTCCACCTATGTCAGATCAGACAATAGCACTAAGTCTTCCAGTGGAAACTTTCAAAATAAAAGAAAGTAACTAAAATGAAGTTCTGGTTTAATGTGCAGAGATGCTCACAGCTCATTTTTTTCAACTCCAAGTCACTTATGGTTCTAATGACTATATATCTATTATCTGCTGCATGTCATCCAGTCTGCTTACAGCACTACATAACTAAGGAATCCAAAGCATGTACTGTAAAGGGAAACATAAATATAAATATATAAAAATAGAACTCACATGTGAAATCAAGTCATTTTGGGGGGGGGGTAAAAATTTTTATCATGAATCCTTTTTCTATTAAAAAGGTCCAGTGTTTAGAATTTAGTGGCATCTAGCAGTGTGGTTGCAGATCGCAACTCCCTCGCTTCACCCTCGAGTAGAATCTACGGTGACCGTGAAACGCAACAGGCCCTTATCTAGATTAGTTGTTTGGTATATGATCACTTTAAACCAGCTGCATGCAATATGAAAAACATGCACGATGAAATCCTTCCTTTAAAGTTAATAACTGTATTTCTCCTAGTACCTTGACTTCAACCAGAACATTAAGAAATGCTGGTTGTGCTGGCTCCTATTTACAAATTAGAAATACTGCCAAAATCAAACCGATGCTCCCCAAAAACACAGTTGAACAACTCTTCCACACCCTCATTTCCATCTGCCTAGACTACTGCAATCCACTCTTTACTTACCTAAAGGACACGGCAGTTACCCAACTACAGTCAGTTCAGAATGCAGCAGCAAGACTCCTCAAACACACACTCAACGTAAGGAACACGCCACTCTAGTCCTGGCCCAGTTACACTGGCTCCCCATCCATTACAGAATCCAATTTAAGATTCTACGGATTACTTTTAAATCCCTACAAAGCCTGGCTCCACTTTATATCTTAGAACCTTTAACCTTTTACTCTGCTCCAAGACCCCTCAGATTGGAGAATCAAACACTGTTCAAAGCTCCACGGTCCAAACTTAAAGGGGATGATGCTTTTTCTGCTTTAGCTCCAAAGCTGTGGAACAAACTCCCCCTCAATATCAGGTTGGCTGAGTCAAGCTTTTAAAAACACCTGTACAGACTTTCTATGATTCTTTACAATGTCGACTCAAATGGTTCTTTATATTATTCTTTTATTTCTATTTCTATCTAATTTTAGCCTTCTTTGCAAATATTGTATGGTATTTAATTTTGTGAAGCACCTTGTAATTCTGGTTTTGAGAGCCACTTCAGAAATAAAATGTATTATTGTAACATGAACATATAGCTATTGACTAAGTCATGGCTAAAGAATGGATATAGACTAACAGGAAAATATTGCTAACATTATTAGGCATGTAATAATAACTGTAACCCATTTTTCAATAACACAGTATAGTATAATTACACTAGGTCTCCAACTAATGCACTGTAAATTAACACACGCTTCTAGCCTCTCAAACCCAGTGTAATGGTAGTCTAATACAGTTTTTAGTGGGGCATGCGTACTCCTATAGGAAACTTTGGAGTTCTGCAGGGGGTACGTGAGATTTTTAAATGTTAATGTTAAAAATATCAGTCATACATTATTAATAGTAATAGTCATTAGAAAAATGGCAATGTTAACAAATCACATTTATAGTCAGTATTCCCTTTTTCAATGCAGCCATCAGCCGCCATAAACTGTCACACCTGTTACACCTAAAGCCTCTGGAAAGAGTTTAATCACTGTAGTTGCTTCCCTGCCAGCCAGAATGAATGACTAAGATCCTCCACAAGCTCATGTTTCTCATTAAACTGCGCAAAAGTGGAACTGAGCAAAAAAGGCACAGTTCAATTCGACTTCAATGCCCTCTTAGTGTTATTGCATGACGACATTTGCCATTAATTTGTGATGGATTCTATACATCTGAAAGGTAGCATTTAAGTATTTTTCAGTTACAAGGTGTATATTGTAGGGTGAATTAAGGGTGGAAAAGGGCCACGCTTGCCATATAGAAGCATTGTTTATTCTTCTTAGCCTCTAGATCTCGACTTTAATTTTTTAATTTTATATTTTGTTTTATCTCTCTACATTTGATTGTTTGGAAAATATTTCAAAGAGAGTACATTAATGAAAAAAGTTAACATTACATGGTCAACAATAAATCTGTAACCTGCCTGTAGCCCAGTGGTTCCCAAACTTTTTCCTAAAGGGAACTAAAGGGACTCTTTCATTGAGTAAACTGATGACCCCTCACTAAGTGACATACTTTGTGGATATTTTATATTATATTCAGCACATACAGAACAACTGATAAACTGTACAGTGAGCCCAAATAAAGAATAACAGCAGGAAGTTTGTATTAAACAAGTAATTTGGATGAATTGTGAGCATTGGTTTAGCTCATTTCCTGTGAATATTGCATTACAAATATGTTTTCAGATATTTTTAGGATTTCTTTATACAATCCTGTCTATATTATGTTCCCACATCATACATAATTAATAAGCTTCCTTTTTTACAAAGTTGTCTTCTCCCTGATACTTGGCCATTGTTCTAATGCATGATTTATTTATGATGTTCAGCAGTGAGTAAAGGCTCTGTGAGCATAGTCTGTATTCAGGTCTTGTTATTTTTAAACTATAAAAAGGAATCTTGAAAATAACAATTTAATTTGTTTTTGTTTTTTCATAGAAATAAATTAAATTTTGAGATACGGGCCTACTGTGTATATTTTAAAGTTTTCTTATACCCATTAAAATCAAGAAGGCCTGGCGACCCCCGACGAAGCTTTGGCGACCCCTAGTGGGGGTTCCCGACCCACAGGTTGGGACCTGTTCGCCAGCAGATGGCGGCAGCGGGACGTGCTAAGTAAGTAAAGCTTTATTTATGAATGGTGAATGTATCCTTTTTATAGTCATGGTAAAGCCAGCAAGTACGGCAAACAAACACAACATTCTGCAAACGCCACTTTAACCCTCCCTTAGCTACACAGCTAGTAGCAAGCTAACGATAGATAGCAGATGTTTGCTAACCGACCAGCTGTCAGGTGCCTGATAAAGTTCGATGTGGTCCATCAAGCATCCTGTCCTTCGACCCCCAGAGGTTTTTGTTTATTTCGTTCTGTGTTTTGTTTAGTTGTTTGTGTGAAGTTGTGGGAAAGGACCCAGCAGCTGCAGCTGTGCTCTCCGTGCTGTTGTTCCCGCTGCCCGCCATCAGCGGGGGTCACATGCGCCAGGTGTGTAAGGTTACGTATGACGACAGTAAGGGAGGGAATGACGTACAGGCCGTCGGACACTTCCTTAATGTTAACGCGCCGAAAAGATAACAAAGATTGTTCACGAGTCCCTAGTGTATGGAAGCCCATTTCCACCTTGACGGGAAACTGAGATTCTGTACTGTAATGTCAGTATAATGAGAAACTTTCTCGAAATAATGAAATAACATCTCCAAATAATGAGAAAGCTGTTGTGATCCTTATACTTGAAAATGTTAAAGGACATGCACACATTCTCAGGCTGCACAGTAAAGACAAATGCCTATTTCAAGTTCCCAGAGCCCTAATGTAAAAATATATACAGGCTTTAAAAAGAAAAGAAAGTCAAGAAGATTATTTCTGTGGATTTAATTGGTAAGTTTTGTCTGTCTCAAAGTTACACTTCAACCTCGCATTCCTCATCCCTTGGCCAATTTTGAGCCGAGGCATTCTGCATGATAACCGCCATATCAGACGTGGATTAACACAGAATTGATTAGCTTTAATAAAACACATCTGAACAGTAATAATGGTCCCAGTGGCAGAGTCAGACGTGGAGGGGGTGGGCTTGGTAAAGCACCAGTAAGGGTTCACTTAGAGAGCCTCTGTTCAGGCAGTAAAGACTCTGCGTCAGGGCTTCATGAAGGACCAGACTCCCACTCTCGTCTGTATAACGCAGCTGAAAGCCCACCACCTCCAGAGGCTTCACAGCCAGAACAGCTGACACGTCAAACACATCGTATCCAGATGAGGGTCGCTGGTCCAGGGTCAGCAGTCTCTCCTCGAGGGCGGGACTTTCCTCTAGACCCCCCTGTGAGGCTGTGACGCTGTGCAGGGTGACAGTCACACTGAGGGGACGGGGGTGGAGGGTTTTCCTGAACAGAACCAGCTCTGCACCCAGCATGGAGGGGCTCAGGCTGCTGACGTTGAACCAGATCCATCCTGGAGGAGCATGGTGTGAACCTGGGTGATCCAAAGAATCATTTTCATACATTCAGTAAAGTATTTGATTTGAATGTATTTTAGCATTCCAGACATCTATTAGTTTCCATTCACTTCAGTTTGGTATGAGAATCAGCAGACACTTTAAACTCTGTAATCCATCACATTCTGTTTCTTTTAAATGATAGCGCAGTTTAGGTGCTTATTGATTTTGACAAAAATGAATGCAGACTAGATGTTCACTGTAATGGATGATTAGGGAATGTTTCCAGAGTGCATGTGAGTCCCTCCGTGGGAAACGTGGCCTTGAGGAGAGAAACTGAAACTGCTGTTTTTCTCTTCTACGTCAATGAATTAAGGATTTATTTGGACCAAAGCAGAGTTGGTGATTGTTGGAACAAACAGACTAACAACAATGGTTTTGGTGAGTTTTATCCTGTTTCTGTCCACTTTGAATGAAGTTACAATGTTATGATGATCAGTGGGGTAAAATTACTGTTTTTGTCAGTGAAGGCTGGTGGCGAATGAGATCAATATATCAGCTGTTTCTGGTTAAACAAAAAAGATATTTTAAAGAAAGGAACTTACTTTGACGTATTTGTCCCTGAAGATTAACTAACATTACGCTGCACCCTGTTTGCGAATATTTTCACATCTAACTCTGTGAATTAAGGGTTATTTCAACCAAACCAGAGTTGGTGGGTGTTTTAGTATCTGCAAGGTAAAATTACAGTTTTTTTTCAATCGAGTCTGGTGGGCTGTAGCCCTCATTTATTTTGGTTCAATATGCCAGTGCACTAGTGCAACATCTAGTGGCAGTGGACTAACCTTTAACTTTAAATTAATATACAAACTAGTTCTGGTTTTATGGTGTACGCTGTATTTATGCAATATCTTCACACTGGGAAAAATTACAAAAGTAAAGTAGCCATCCACAAATTTTCCAAATTAAGATTTGAAACTTTCCCTCCATTTTATACGATATCACTCCCTCGCTTCACCCTCCTCCTCCAAGCATTAATGAGAATGTGGTAATTGGCCCTATCCAAATCCAGTGTTTACTTTGTCTGTTCTGGGTTAATGTAGCTCTGCTTGTAGAATAGTAGAATGAACAGTGGGGTATTTTATTTTCTTGGTTTATGTATGACCTGCGAACTACACATTTTTAAAACACTGGTGTCCTGCAAACATTTGCTTTCAAAGTAGCTTCCATTACACTGGCATATAACCTAGTATTAAATTTGCTTTAAGCATGTTGCACCTCTGGCCAAAACCCAAGCAGGGATGAGACAGCAGGTGTTTTGCTGATGGAAAACTTCCAGATTAGCCAACACAAGGACGTCATCACTGGAACACTGCCAGGGCTAACAGTTGTTCTTTTATTCCTTTGGTTTGCAGTCATTGAAAGCCAGTAACAAAATGAACAGGATTACTCCTTTTAAACAAGATGGTAATTCATTTTCTAATCCTTACCAGCAACGCTCCGATAACTCTGCACCAGCGTTCCATCTGAACTCCCCAGGTCTTGAGCCTCCAGTGAGTCCAGACGCTGATAGATCCTCCTCATGTAGGGATGGGGCTTAGCCTGATGGCTCGCAGACACTTTATTGATATGTAGCATTTCCAAGATGGCTTTGTTGAGCCCCCGGTCATCCTCTGCATCTCTGCGCTGGTCCATCAGCAGCAAGCCTGTGACGGAGCACAGCAGGAGGAAGACCAGCGTTACGTCAAAAAATCCCAAACACACTCCTCGGACCATTCTGTATTAATTATATTGATTGTCTTCAAGCAGTCTGATATGATCCTATCTGCACTCGTTTTTCTGTCAATGTGCTGCTGAAAGGTCCACCTGGCAGCTATAGTGTATAGTCACATAGTACAGTCTGTGCACTAATAGGTATGCAGGAACCACAGGGGCTGTCAGGACTTAGTGAAGCAGGCCCATTCTGAAGCTGAGGAATGTTACTTCCTTTTGACAAACACTCTAGCATGGACTGTAATGAGCCTCAGTACAAGCAACCACTGGGCTGATGCACTGACTGGAAAGACTCCTCTGGGACTTAAGGAGGAGGAGTATTAGAGCCCTTAAAGGAAAAAACAGAGCTAAAGAATAAAAAAGTGGTAGTACTTTGAAATGTCTTGATATTTTGAGATAAAGTAGTAATTCGACAAAAGAAAATGTGTAACATTTTGAGAATAAGTCATAATATTTGAGGATAAAATTAAAATTTTACAAGATAAAGTTGTAAATGTGGAGAAAGTAGTCATATTTAAAGAATTACGGGATAATAGCATGAGAATATGAGAAAAAGATAACTGTACGGTTAATTTTAAGAGCAAGATGACTGTTGTCATCTATTTGACCAAAAATCACTGGATCAAAATGGACCCTGTGTGCATACAACTAATGCTATACTGAGTCAATGTTGACCCATTGATTTTTAGTTTATACTGACTGTTTTCTCAAAATTACAACTTTATTTGTCAAATATTTGGCTTTACTCTCAAAATCTCCTTTTTTCCTCTGAGTGGTCCGAATACTCCATTGTACCCTGCAGAGTATACGTTGCAGTACTTCATACATACACTGCCTTGCATACAGTACGTTTTGTGTTTGAAGCCAAAATGCAACTCAAGTCTTTTCTTCAGCAAAAATCTGAACATGGCTCACATCAAGCTGACAGAAAACCTGCTGCACAAATCAAACCACGCTACTGCTAAGCCTGCTAATCCCACTTATTAAATATCTCCACATCCACTACACTTGGAGGGATGTGTGTAACTGACATTTAAAGAATAGTGTGATCTCCAGAAAACAGGTTGGCACTACATAATAAAACACCTTGGACAAATCATTTCAACCTACAGTAGATAATAGACTGAATACCACAAACTGAATATGTAGTGGACATATTGTTTCTCAGGCTAATACTGACCCCTACTGGCTCCCTGCAAAACTACAGTCTCAAGTCTGTCAGTGTTAAAGTGATATTTGGAAGAATTTAGTCACATTTTCTCTCTTTGCTTTACACAGGTTCTTATAACTGTGCTTTTATCTTTTATGCAGTGGTGTTTCGTATTTTAATATGCGTTTGCCAAATTATAATGAATTTCCCGCTTTAATGAAGGAGACAGTGATGGATGATTAGAGTAAACTTGGACTGATACTGAAATCCAAACTTTGCATTAAAAAGAAAGAACAATGAAAACAAAACAAAGAGGGTTAAATCTCAGTTAACATTTTTTGAAGTTGGCTTCTGATGTTAAGCACCAGTAACATTACTGAAAGAGTTAGTTAGCACTTCATACACACCAAGCATACTCCTAAGCCTCAAGAGCAGCTAAATCATCACTTTTATAATACTGTCTGTAATGAGTAAGCACTAGCACAGCTGCAGGCCTTTACTCTTGTTTTAAATATTGTTTTTGTCCATAGGCTGCAACAAGGGTGTAATTTCCACTGGGGACCGGAGCATGTCCCCCTCACTTTTATCATTTTTCACCCAGTTAACTAAACTAACTTTAATATTTCATGCACTAAAACCTCTCTAAACATTGTCCTCTGAGTGTCCGGCCCCTATATCGCAGATAATAGAAGAGAGGAGCTGCTAAAAATGTTAATACACAGCAATTAACTTAATGAGCACCTGCTAGTGATGTAGCAAGTGGTTTATTCCCCGGGCTTTGCCTCTCAGGCTGCCTGCTGGCTGCCCTACCTTATCAGTGAAGCGTGTTGGGGCTGAAAAAAATATGTTGTTTTACTTTTATTACATTTATTTTTACTTTTTATAACATAAAAAGGTAATAAAACACAGGTAAACAAAAGTGATACATACTGTATGTGTCAACTGGACACAAAGCACACACCTCATAAAAAAGAAAGGAAAATAAGTAACAATTAACATAGCAGCATAACATAAAGTCTACCTATATAATATACAGACATACATATATACAAATATATATACTCTCCTACATACACATGTGCACACACACACACACACACACACGCACACACACACACGCACACACACACACGCACACACACACACACACACACACACACACACACACACACACACACACACACACACACACACACACACACACACACATATCTATCTATGAACATGTTCACATCAACCCATAATGATTCTGCACTGGAAAATCATTATCAATCATTATTACCACCATGTTGCCACAATAGTTGAAAAATATATATTTTTATTATTTTTATTATGTGATCAACATTGTCATAAACAAATGCTAGAATTCAACAACAGTCAAAGACAAGGCAGTAAAAATATAGAAAATATATAGCATATCGTGGAGCATACATATGGCAAAAGAGGTCAAAAGACACCAAGTTCCTGCATGGGAAAGTGTGTAAAGTTTTTATACGTTTATTGGGAGCAGCACATTGACACTGACATAAAATTACATATGGTTGTAACAGAAAGCCAAAATCATCATGTCACGTCTTTTGTTCTACTAACGTCTTTAACTCAATGCATTTCTAAAGCAATAATGGGGGCGTCCTGTATAGCAGCTGCTATAAGACACTGACATAAGTCGTTATTTTAGACAATGTTTACTTTGTGAGCACAGAAAAAACTACAGCTCCCATTAAAAAAACTACAAGCATGCCAGCACAGGTGCTTTTGTCTTTGACTTCTCAAGTCATGTTGTAAAGATGCAGAAGGTAATTTTTTATAAAAAATAACTTTTTTCATATTCTCTGAAACATTAACTATATCCTGACAGTAGAACATGAAAAAAATCTGGCTCCTCTGGCTCCTCCTAGTGCTCCTAATGGCATTTGCAAGAATCCACCAGGTCTGTACGAAAACAACCAATGAGAGTTGAGAAAGATAGTTGATTGTTGAGTCTCATTCTCAGATGGTCAAATATTCATATTAATAATAAACTAATAAAACTAATAATAATCTTCAAACCAGCAACTCAAAGCATTGGCATTTAAAGACCTGGGGACGTATAACTGTCAGGATATAATGAAAGTTTCAGCTAATATAAATTACCTACTGCAGCTTTAAACTTTCTGGCTTCTACGGCTCAGTCCTCTCTGTGCTGCTGTTCTTACAGCCATGTCTGAGCCAGCCACAGCAGCTCATAGAAATGGTGTTTGTTAAAAGCCATCCTTAGACTGGATGTTGTTAGCATTGATACAAAGGTCAGTGGGATTTTGAATGAGGTTTTCTTACTTCTGGAACAGATCCTGGAGGTTTCAGTTACACTAAGGATTTCTATAGCAAATGTATTGCTTATTCACATATCCAGCACTGTTAGCTCTTGTTTGGTCTCTAACAACTGCTGAGAACAACTGACAACTCCTGCAGTCAGCTGCTTAGCATGCAGTGTACAGTGGGTTTATCACAGTTTTCTCACTGAAAATGGCTGCTTGCCAGAACATAAAACCAAAACAGCGAGCTGAAAGAAGCTAAACACTCCATAGGGCTGTGGGGAAGTACAATGATAACTCTCTGTAGATGTATCACCACGAGCAACAACTTTTCCAAATAATCATTGTATCCATTATTAATATAAAAATATGAATGAGTGCAGCAGTTCCAGGACATAAAAGTCAGGATACAAAAAAGGTAATCCATTACAGTGATTTGTGATTCTAAAAATATTGTATGCAGTTTTCTTCCAGTTTACCATGTTATCTTATTTTGATTCTTTTTTTTCTCTTTATTTGCATATTTGGTGTTGAGGTAATCCCAAAGTATTCAAGTAATTTTAATATTGTGATACTCAGATTAGGTTACTGACTACATTTTTAATAGGTAAATAATAATTGTATCAGATTACATTTTTAAAGTAACCCTCACAGCCCTGAAAACGAATAACTACATTGTTTCTAAAAGATAGAGATTTTGATGTCTTCTTCCAGTTTTGCACCCCTGCTTTATGTGTTTACACAGGGGTCTCAAACAGCCGGCTTGGGCTCCATCTCCAGATCTCTGACCCCCTTCGCCTGGTCCACGACATGTAAAATGTACCATTTTTTATGTGCTTTCTAGTTTTCTAGTTTTCTAGTATATTTTTTCTACGCCTTCATGTACAATTAAAATAAAAACAGTTCTATTTTCAAAGGTGTATTCCGTTTGGTGCAAAATTATGAGGTCAAAGTTGCCTTCAAATACGTGTAAATGGTTAAGAAATGAGCAGGTCTGGGGCCGTTATTTGTTGTTGTTGTTAGGAACAAAGATGATATAAAATGATGATATAAAAAGTATGACGTTAGTAATGGAAATATAATGGAATATTATACTTTCTTGTAGAATTTGAAGATAGATGGTGTATGTGCCATTTTCTCTCTTCTGATGTCCTCCTTACATTAGTGCACTGTTCAGCCTTTTATCTCTCTCTTCTATAATGACAAAGCTGTTTCTCACACCACCAGGCACTTTGGACCAGTCTTTGATCTCAGAGCCCGGTGTTTGTCTTTAGGTTTTTCCGCTCCGATTGCTGATCCCACGGCAGCAACAAGAGGAGGGAGGTCTTCCTCCTCAGTCGCTGCTTCCTGTCCTCAGCCTCTGTCCCTCCCTCCTTCTCCCTCTCCACTCACCTCACTCTGGTGTGGGCGGAGTTTGTCCCTGGGGAGAGAGCAAGGATTCTGTTGGTGAGGTAGTTGCTGTTGAAAGCAGAGGAGAGCAGACAGGTATGGGTGGAAGAAGAAGCGCCAGATGTTAGCAGATCAGGTAAGGACATGTCTGAATGTACGTGGAGATCTCCGCTGGGGACCTTTCTTGTTCGGGGACATGACAAGACGTTTGTCTTTCTTTTCTTTTCCCTCGTTTCTTTGGTAGTTTTTCTTTTGATTTAACTGATTCGCACTGCATTTCTTCATCATCCTTTTCTCTACCCTCCTTCTCAACACAAACTTCACTTTTGATGATAAATATGCCTCTTATTGTCTCAAAATTCATCATTTACCAGAAACAGATGCCTCAATAAA